CCTACTGGACTGAGGGCCTACTGGACTGAGGGGCCTTCTGGACTGAGGGGCCTACTGGACTGAGGGCCTACTGGACTGAGGGACCTACTGGACTGAGGGGCCTACTGGACTGAGGGGCCTACTGGCCTGAGAGGCCTTCTAGACAGAGGGGCCTACTGGACTGAGGGCCTACTGGACTGAGGGGCCTTCTGGACTGAGGGGCCTACTGGACTGAGGGCCTACTGGACTGAGGGATCTACTGGCCTGAGGGGCCTTCTGGACTGAGGGGCCTTCTGGACTGAGGGACCTACTGGACTGAGGGACCTACTGAACTGAGGGGCCTACTGGACTGAGGGCCTACTGGACTGAGGAGCCTACTGGACTGAGGGACCTACTGGACTGAGGAGCCTACTGGACTGAGGGACCTACTGGACTGAGGGGCCTTCTGGACTGAGGGGCCTACTGGACTGAGGGCCTACTGGACTGAGGAGCCTACTGGACTGAGGGGCCTTCTGGACTGAGGGGCCAACTGGACTGAGGGCCTACTGGACTGAGGGGCCTACTGGACTGAGGGCCTTCTGGACTGAGAGGCCTACTGGAGTGATGGGCCTTCTGGACTGAGGGGCCTTCTGGACTGAGGAGCCTACTGGACTGAGGGGCCTACTGGACTGAGGGGCCTACTGGACTGAGAGGCCTATAGGACTGAGGTGCCTTCTGAGCTAGAGGCCCACGAGACTGAAGGGCCCATAGGCTTGACCAGCCCGTAGGACTGAAGGCCACGCTGGACTGCTGAAGGCCACACAGAACAGAGGGGTCCACGGAAAAGGGGACTGAATGGCACATGAAACTGAAGGGCCCAGAAGACCAAGGGACACACGGGACTCTGGGATCCGTAGGATTTTGGAGCTCATGAGACTTAGGCATGGGGCTTGAGGGGCCATATGGGCTGAGGGAGCCATGTGGTATTTGGGAGCCATAGGGCTGAGGAAGCAATGGGGCTGATAGGCTTGTACCCACGGAGGACCGTTAGTACATCCAGGAGATGTCCTTGGCAACGAAGGAGTTTGAGCCCACAGCGTCGCGGNTGTCCTGACAGAGACACATGCTCTGATGTGTTGCACGCAGCGCGGGACAGAGACCGGCGCTACAGAGATGTCCTGGCAGAGACACATGCTCTGATGTGTTGCACGCAGCGAGGGACAGAGACCGGCGCTACAGAGATGTCATGGCAGAGACACATGCTCTGATGTGTTGTACGCAGCGCGGGACAGAGACCGGCGCTACATCAATATCCTGGCAGAGACTAGATAGAGTTCATCGTCAGGTCCCAGGCATCGCCTTCCGTCCCGCCATGTCGGCACCCGCGACGACCACGCTCTATTATCTCCCAAGTGAGTCGCTGCAACTCACTTTATTTGCGAGATTCTTGTCTTATTACGATTAAAATGTAAACGGCAATGTACAATTTTCATAGAAGCGTTTTATGTGTATTGGGATCTGACAATCCCCTTGAGAATGGTCGTGCTGCGGAAATATAAATGCCATTTACTTCTAGCTTTCATGGATATAATGCTAATCTGGAAAACAATCTTCAATGTCTAATCCATGACAATAAATAAGAAATACCAATGTCTTATCTCTTATTTTATAAATAAGATATATAATAAATAAGAAATAAGACCCTGCAGTTGAGAAGTGACGAGATCCAAAACTTTGACCTGAAGCAAGTTCCTTACAAGCAGACCCGGCATATTATGCAAGCTATCCCAGCACATCACATAAGCATGCGAGTCCGTCACATGCACATGCGTGCGAGCACACGCAGCACCGATAATCCTAAAAAAACTAAATTAACAAAACTTAAAAACTAACTAAACTTTCTAGCGGAAAGGAAAAGTTTGATTCATGGTATTTTTCATGATTTTAAGTAAACACGATTGTTATTCGTCATATGTTTAGCTGTTAGCAAATATTTTTCCCTCAAACTCCAATGACTTTTGACCCATAAATTTGAGACATGAACTAGGGCACCGAAAATTGACTAAATTCTTGTGTTCCTCTAGTGAATTAAACGCCGTAAATACGAGTGTACACGGATAAAAATACAGCGAATCAATCAATGAACTGCTCCGAATAATAAAAATAGGAATTACCCGAAGTTTTAATGAACAGAAGTTTTGTCTTTGGCATAAGTTCTTCATTGACGCAATTAATATTTTAAAGATGTTTTCTCAAGTGTAGGGCTATGCTCACTTAAATGAATTCCAGGCAAGTTATCATATTAAACTAGCAAGATAAGTAACATCCTTATTCTTCTAGAAAAAAATTTCTTTTCATTGCTTCAATCCTTCAGGGCAAAATGTCGCAAACGGAGGGTGCAATATATAACAGCAAATGATGGCCCAATGAAGCACAGGCAATGATGGTACAATGGTGATTAAACTAAATATTGAATGGCAGAGAAGGTAAACAGATTTGCTGTTGACACGGCGGAATTCTAAGAACGGTGGATCATATTTTAAAGATCGATTCAGTTCGATAAGTTCAGTTCGATCAGTTGCTAAATCAGTTCTAAATTTCGATCAGTTGCTAAATTTTGGTTATAAATAAAAGGGAAAAATAGCTTAGATTTTAGATCCAATATGTTTTGAGCACTTGGAATTTCACACGTTCTATAAGCCACGCAGACCGCTCGAAATACAATGCAGAGACAAAGGCAGACATCACGAGTTTATTGGAGGAAAGTTCGTTGCAGTCTTGACAAGCCAGTCAAGACGAGGCCAAGCTTAAAATGTGATAGAAGACGTCTTATCCTATATATACAGGGCTAATTTGCCCTAAAGGATATTGTTTGAAGAATGGACCAATGGACTAATAATAATCAGAATGAAGACTGGAATGAACATAGAACAAGCTCTCTTAAATTGTTTGAAGAATGGACATATATAGGAATAGAAAAATATAGGAATGGACTAACAATATACAAGAATGATGACTGAAATACTAATATAGAACAAGCTCCCTGAAATTCCCCCCTGACAGCAGGATCATGACCAGCTGACCTCCTCTGGCGCGCCCTCTTCTTCTCAGTGTCGCTGAGGCCTGACCACGACCTCCGTCTGCTGGCGTCCGCGGGGCCTTTGCGAGCGTCCAGTAGGAACTCCTCGGACCCTGCGGGGGGGGGGCAGTGGTGGGGGGTCATGACTAGTGTTATGGAGGGAGTAATTTGTACAGTACAGTACAGTACAGCACGATATAGTACAGTACCCTACAGTACAGTACAGTGCGGTACGGTACAGTACAGTAAAGTAAAGTACAGCACAATATAGTACAGTACAGTTGAGTACCTACAGTACTGTACAGTTGAGTACCTACAGTACTGTACAGTTGAGTACAGTACTGTACAGTACAGTATAGTAACGGGCACAGCTCTAGTGGTGGCATGACAAGATTTCTTATTTGAAAATTGAAAAATAAATGAAAAGGCATGGATGCAATCCTTGCGTTGTATGAATTGAGTTTGTAACAACAACGAATATTCTTGTGTGAATAATGAAGAATATTCAATACTTGAAGGGAATTTATGAGTATTGTCTTCTCATTAAGTAGTGGAGAATAAATTTGAAACCGATTGCTAAGACTCAAAGTTGTTAAGCAATAATGAAAATGCCGAGACAGAGTCATGTCTATCATGCTTGAACTTTATAATAATTAACAGAGTTTCTGTTAAGAGAGAAGTAAAAATAATAATCGTAAAAGTGACATAAATAAATAAAAAAAAAACACAATAAGTGAATTATTGAGTGTCCACTTATGTAACCGGATTTACAATGCAATAAAAAAAACAATAAAAAATATAATGAATTCAGTAAATTCTACGAAAAAATCCCTCTAATACAACTAAGTAACAGTAACAATATACAATAAGATTGTATTTCAGATTGTAATGTAAACAATAGCTTTCTCGAATTTTTCGGAGCCTTACATTAACACCATCAAAAAGACAATACAAATCTAAATTAGCAGGCAAATCAAGCAAACATTTTGGGTCGTACGGACATCTTCTTGGTGCCGTGCCAAGGCAGGAGTCATGGGGCAGCAGGGCTGCCGTACACGCGGTGTCACGGGCAGGCTTACGCACCAGTAAATACAACGAAGTTTGCTCAGTAACATTTATAGAAGTAAGTTCTACTATACAAGCAAACAAGAGAATATATAAGAGAACACAACACTAGTCGTCAACACAACACTAGTCGTCAGCACAAACTAGTCGTTAGCACAAACTAGTCGTCAACACAACACGACACAGAACGGGTGATGCAGAAAGAGGAACATACCCAATTGACATGACCCCAGCGCATTGCCGCTGCACGGAAGCTATGTCAATACCGCCAGGAATGACTCACATGGGAAAAAACATGAGAGCACATGGGATATGTACTGACGCTGCGTTAAGTCACCAGCCTCATCTTCATTTAAATTCAAATTAATTTAGGCTCATCAATTGGTGCGTAATTAGCCGAATCAAACATAACACTAGTCGACAACACAACACTAGTCGACAACACAACACTAGTCGACAACACAACACTAGTCGTCAACACAAACTAATCGCCAACACAACACTAGTCGACAACACAACACTAGTCGTCAACACAACACTAGTCGTCAACACAACACTAGTCGACAACAAAACACTAGTCGACAACAAAACACTAGTCGTCAACACAACACTAGTCGACAACACAACACTTGTCGTCAACACAACACTAGTCGACAACAAAACACTAGTCGTCAACACAACACTAGTCGTCAACACAACACTAGTCGTCAACACAACACTAGTCGTCAACACAACACTAGTCGTCACCACAACACTAGTCGTCAGCACAACGCTAGTCGTTAACACAACAGTAGTCGTCAACACAACACTAGTCGTCAACACAACGCTAGTCGTTAACATAACAGTAGTCGCGATAACTTTTAGGCTTAGCGTCTACAGCAACATCACAATATGTTGAATTAAAACATAGAACATTTCAAGTTCAAATGTAAGAGCGAACAACATCAGGAATTTCTATCCTACGTCGGGGAGGCATTCTACTGTAGAATTTATCAATTACGTTTAATTTTCTGTAACCACTTAATATGTAAAAAACGCAGTTCTAGTCGCCAGATGTGTTCGATACTTCGAATAGCTCTTTCAAATGACTATTAACCATGTATACGACGGGTTCTATTCAGAAAATTACTTTTTGTGCTTAGAATTTTTTTTTTTGTAAATTAGATGGCCAGGAGCATTTCGCAGCCGCCGGAAACAAGATCTTCGGTCAGCGTTCTTCATTTTTTCGGCCCTTTCCCACGCGCGAGAAGACCCTCGCCCAACGAGCGACTCCCTCCCTCGCTATGACCATCTAAACCATTTGCCTAAAAGGGGCACAGGCACTCGAGCTGAGCGCGAAGCTGCGACGCGATCCTAAACGTCAGGAGCGACCGTCTCTACTATCACTTTGGTTACACTCGCGTCCTGTGAGGATGCGAGTGTAAAGCAGGTTCCACGCGCGAGAAGACCCTCGCCCAACGAGCGACTCCCTCCCTCGCTATGACCACCTAAACCATTTGCCTAAAAGTGGCACAGGCATTCGAGCTGAGCGAGAAGCTGCGACGCGATCCTAAACGTCAGGAGCGACCGTCTCTACTATCACTTTGGTTACACTCGCGTCCTGTGAGGATGCGAGTGTAAAGCAGGTGTCCGAGATTTTTTTTTTAATAGATATCCTCATGTGTTTACCAGCACACCTAATTAGCTTTGAGTCCACTGTGTCACTGAGAGCTTGCCTCAGACACTGAGTCAACAGCTTATACAGCATACTGTATGTGTCACGAGGAGAAAAACCCGGTGAGAGCGGAAATCATAATTCTATAAAAGGGCTGGAACCTTAGTAAGGTCCCCAGTAAGTTGCAAGAATGCCGTTATGTAACTCGCGTTAGTCGAGTTACTCCGACCAAACGGTCGACGTCCTAGCCTATACCTTTTCTTTATCTCTCACGCATCAACCCCGTATCAAGATAAGTTCTCTAGACAGATTGAGTCTTACTAATCCCTCATGCACTTAGTCAATAAATATGTGTCCTCACATTAAGGCGGAAATAAAATATATAATTAGTCAGATGGCGCTTAATATTGGCGCCTGATACAGGAAAATGCGCGCCGACATCAGCCGACATGCAGCCGTGTTGCGATTTGTGCACGATACAACGCATGCGTGCCGCCTTCAATCGCCAAGCAGGCGCTTCATAGAGCCGTGCACACGACACAAAGCACACGTGTCTTCAGCCGACACGCAAGCGTGTTGCGAGGCCGTGAACACGAAAGAATGTCATGCCAGGAAATTTTGGTCCAATTCATCCGTGGCCAAGTATACTCCGCAAATGCCAGAGGCTGCAAACAAACTTGAGTTATTCGTGCTCAAATAACCTGGTGCAAGAAGCTGGGAAACGCACTCACATGCACGCAGTCACGGGTTTATCGGGGCTTCTGAATTTTTTTCCGTCCGTTATTGCCAAGGCATGAGCCCGAGTCGCTATCACATCAAAACTACAAAACACCGGCAATGTAAGAGATATGTCACACGCATCAGGCATTGTTGCTTGGCAACTCGCTTATAACCTACAGTTTCTTTGTCGACTTTGACACGACTGAACGGTCGGGATAATTAAATCTTCTGAGTGAAGTCCGTAGATTGGAATCCAGCACACGCTTGAGCTGCACGCTATAGCTGAGTTCAATGGCAGCTTCCTCTCCATCAGAGCGCACACAGCAGCGACTTGCAATATTGAATGCAACAGACCAAACACACGCGACATCAGAGCTTATATCCACACCCCAATAATTCACCACCAACAAATCATGTCGCTCACTTCTCCCAGCGGGCTTTTGATGAAGATCTCATGCATGGAGTAACTCGAGTAATATTATAAGATTTGCATAACTTCAAACAGAATAGGGTACGTATATATAAAAAAATAATCACTCTAACTGGGCAACTCGAACGAGCTACACGGTATCAACCAGGCTACTGTAGAAGCTAAATTATTAGCGTTGCAGCAACGACATCGCGCATCAACCCTGATCTATTCAACTCAGTTCGGATAATTCATTAACGACCAGCCCTGCCGGATGTACTGGTCCGATATAAATGGCTACTGCATTCAGTGTGTTCATGAGCTTGCCTACAATGCGCATTTTCAGGCACGAAGTTTTTTTTCATTTTCAAAGATAAAACGCGACTTCAATGCGCAAGGCCGGCACGTTTTCTATGCCTGATAGCGCTAGCGGTACATTCTGGGCGACATCCATGAGCAAATAGCATGTATCATACTATTTAATTGCAGCGAAGTAGATAACAAAGTAGTATTGCAGCACAAAACAGTACACGAGCATATATTTGCAGGAGGACACTTGGCACAGGAAATGTTTGATCGAAGATACATCGATTGCCGATGTATCTAAGTGCCGATGTATCGACCGTCCAAGTGGAGGCCCAGGGAATACGAACGGGGAAAAAGCTGCAGCGTCGAGCAATTGAGCATTTGCTGTGCTGCACTGCACTGCAGTAAGTGGCTATATGTGCACTGCACTGCAGTGAGTGGCTATATGTGCACTGCACTGCAGTGAGTGGCTATATGGGCACTGCACTGCAGTGAGTGGCTATGTGCACTGCACTGCAGTGAACAGATCTGTGCACTGTTCTGTAGTGAACAGATCAGTGGACTGTTCTGTACAGAGCACGGCGTCGTCGTGGATGTCGGCGACGACACCAGCACGACACCAGCACGGCGCTCACGCAGGTTCTGTTCCTGCCACCTCGGGACGCGCGCCGGGATGGGCGTGAGGTCAGAAGGGGGAGAGTGGGAAATATGCGAGGAGACAGTGTAGATGAGTGGGAAGGGGTGGGAAAAATGAGCGCAGGAAAGTAGCGTGAGAAGGTAATGAAGCCGGGAGAGTGGAGGTAATGAGTGCAGTAGAGTGGAGGTAATGAGTGCAGTAGAGTGGAGGTAATGAGTGCAGTAGAGTGGAGGTAATGAGTGCAGTAGAATGGAGGTAATGAGTGTGGAGGTAATGAATGCGGGAGAGTGTGGAGGTAATGAATGCGGGAGAGTGTGGAGGTAATGAATGCGGGAGAGTGTGGAGGTAATGAGTGCGGGAGAGTGTGGAGGTAATGAGTGCGGGAGAGTGTGGAGGTAATGAGTGCGGGAGAGTGTGGAGGTAATGAGTGCGGGAGAGTGTGAAGGTAATGACTGAGTTAGTGGGTCACCGCGTCCCGCTGAGAGCGCCATTACTGCACACCAGTCGCGCAGTTTCACCTCACCACGTACCCACCTACAGGTCAGTTGACAGCCTTCAAATGAGGCGTCAGTGAGCATGACAGGAAACAGTGTGATGTCGTCAAGTGATGAGTTAAACGTTGCACATTTCTTCATTGCGAGGATCAGCATAAAGTTAACAACATACAAGCAAAGCAGGGGGAGGAGAAGCAGGATAACACAACTATGACACTCACGGTGGGAGGTCCAATTTAAATACAATAAAGGAGAGTAAAAGTAAAGTCCAGGCAGATGTAACTGGTGAAGTAAAATTATATAGTAAATTAAAGATGGAAACTATGATTCCAGCTAATACAAAATCGTCAAATACAACAGAAAACATCAAGACGAATAACGACGAAACATTGCATGATCACCACCAAGTTGCATAGAACTTGTCACAGCGCTACGTGACGTCAATACAAATCCTGGATAACGGACGTTGCGAACAATAAACATCGACTGAAAACTAGTGATGTTGCCGAGTTAGTTTCGGCGAATCGCTCAAGAAAGGTTCACGCAGTTTAATGTTAGACCGCTGCATCAAGATCTGATAATGACGCACTGCACCTATACATCATTGAGTGGTCATTTTATCCACGATCAGGAATAATAGGAGTGAGATGACGCTCTCAATACCTTGAGAACTCAACGAGTGAGGGCCAAGCATGCGAGGACCAAGATAGTGAGATCATCTCAATGATCATCAACACAACACTAGTTGTCAACACAACACTAGTCGCGATACCTTTTAGACTTAGCGTCGACAGCAACATCACAATATGATGAATTAAAACGGATACAACATTTTAAGCTCTAATGTAACAGTGAACATCTCACTCCTTCCAAAGTAGGAGTGAGATGATGCTCTCCTTGGAGGTATGAACGAGTGAGAGCAAATCATGCGAGGACCAAGCTAGTGAGATCATCTCAATGTACAGAGAGAACCCCAAAGGTTCACAAATAATGACGACATGAGGCGAGTCTAGCGAAGGCAGGCATGCATGCCAGACAACGAGGTGGTGATCAAGCCCAGGGTGATGCCCCAGTGAGGACCTGTTGGGGTCGCATCGTTGACGCGGATCTTCGGGGTATCGGGGCAGAGGTGGGAGTCATCGAGGGAAGCGGACGTGACGGGCGTTGATGGGGAAACGTCCTCCTCGGATCTAGGGGACCTGCCCGAAACCGACCTTCTTCTAGGCCCGGCTGAGTCCCCAGCCGGAGGGGACGCAGCTTCATCCCCAAAGGTAAGCCCAGGAAGGATCATCTTCCCTTTGGGATTGCAGATGACCACAGACGTGGCTGCAGGGGAAGTGATGTCTGGGGAAGACTGAGGGTCATGTGGGGGAGAACACTTACAGGGGAAGTAGCAGGGAGGATTTGTGGACTCTTCTTCCCCCTCCACGTTGAGGGAAGGACAGGACGAGCTCAAGCGACACAAGGACCGGCCGTTCTGTGGGAACACGAGAAAGATGTCAGCAACATGTAATAGTATGAAAACTGGCATGGGCATAAAAGATTAGGCACGCCTGTAATAAAAAATATAAAAAACCTGACCCAATCGACGGAGTTATTTTGTCAAAAGAAATGGGTACAGAAGTTAGTAGGAGTATTTTGAAAATGGTCATTGCAAACTAAAATCCACGACCCGCATCAGTTAAGAGAAAGAACGACTAAATATCTCACAGGCATGAACAAAACTACAGTATCACTCGACGAGAATAATGCAATTTCCGCAAACAAAAAATACACAAACTTCATCTCCGGCCTCAAAAAACAGACAAAAATGCACAAAAGGCCGGACACTCGCAAGGGGAGGCCACCCGGTCCCCCCTCAAGTCCCAATATTAAAGGGCATATAAAAGGCGAACTCGGCGCTCCAGTGTTTGGCATGGAGATGAAAGTGCATGCGAGAGCCGAGGTTGGGCGGCCACTCGCTTCCTGGGTCTGTTCGCTTGCCGCAACCCGCGCCTCACTTCAGCGGCACGCGCAACGGCTCGACCGTTGCTAGCCGGTGTACCGTTAACTCCAGATATTATTTTGAAATAAATCGGTAAAATGTCGGAATAAAAAATAAAAACATGGACATAAGCTTCACAGTGCGCTGAAATGACGATGAGTTGCAATAAGAAGACAAATTAAAAGATTGCACGAAATTTTCCATAATTGTGGCATATTATGAGAAAGATTCTCATGTCATGCATGTTCGTTTAAATCTAGAGAAGCTTGATCTTAACTGGTAACGACGGACTTACAAATTCAAGTGATTACCACACAATTATTAGGTATGATTGGTACGCTGATCTTAAGGTGATAACTCTTATCATCACCGACAATGATTTGTCAGATACGAGTCCTACAACGGCTAAGATTGTATGACGCTGCGTGCAGTTGAAGGCTCATACCACAATTATGGCCCTAATGTGGGAAAGGGCAATATTAAGCGTCACCTGATTTATAATATATGTTCAACCTGAACATTAGGTCAAACATTTCTTGACTAAGTTAGAGAGGGAAAGGTAAAGACACTTCTATATATTAAACTTATCTCGATACGGGGTGGTTATATACATCTGTCACTACAGGAACATACTGCAGGTATAGGCTAAGACATCGACCGTTAGGTCGAAGTAGCTCTAACAATTGTTACATCGCGGCGGTCGTGCTGGGGGAAATTATAAAGGTGTCTAGCCCTTTTATAGACTTACTACTTCCGCACAACACTATTGTCCACGTGTCACATATGCTGTATAAGCTGTCGACTCAGCGTCTGGGGCAAACTTTCAGTGACACAGTGGACTCAGAGCTAATTAGATCTGCTGGTAAACACACGAGGATTTGTATCCACAAACTACTTCCGAACATAATGACGCCGGCCCCTGCCTTCATCGTCCTACCGCTAGCGCTACCATGCAAAATATCCTTTTACACTTCACAGTCAAAATTTTTCTCTCGAGAGCCATCCAAGAACCATGCATTCATGAATGGCAAGAAAATCGAAGAAACCTGTCCGTTTAATCAGTTTGGGTGTCCTACGTTCGCTAAAGCACTTCTACGTCGACAACGACGCAACTTGCCGGAAATATCGACCAAGTCCGGAGGAACGTCCGCATCTCTGCGAGCTCGGAAACTGCCGTAA